TTTTTTTTTTTTTTTTTTTTTTTTTTTTTTTTTAGCAGCACCTGACCTTCGGTTAGCAAAATCAAAGAATAAACTCAAAAAAGTGGATTTCTTACTAAGTTACGCTTGTTTTTCCCAAGTTTCTTCCGGCTACATTTGAACTTTGCTTAAAATACTTAACTTTGCCAATTATATGCAAAATTAATTACTTCTGGATCCATGTGAAAGCCTACGATGGATGATGAATGGTTAAATAGTTCTAACAAACGCCAAAAAAAGCAAATTTATAATGACTTTACGGAGGGATTCTTAACAATTGAGCTGATTTTTTGCACAGGTCAAGCACTCCTCCATCACACAGTAGTTATCATTCACGCTGGTAGAATTGGAATAACTGCAAAGCTCCGCTGCATCCTTGTGGTTGCGCTCGCTTCCTGGTTTCGTCCCTCTTGAAAAACGCTAAAGATTTAAACTCTTTCGGAAGAAACTTGGCATTTTGCTAACGACACCGATGAGTTGTAGCAACCAGAAACGACACTGAAACCTGATGCGTGGTTTCTTCCGCAAAGCAATAAGGGCGCCCCGATTGTCCTACAAAACACGTGAACAATGTCAAAGAACCCAAAATACTATTTTGTGCTCGTAAGAGGCAGAGCCATTATTAGGAGAATCTTGACTGCATCATTTCCTTGTGCGCTGCAATAGTCTCACTTAGAGGCAAGGTGCAAGGCGCATCACATTAAGTCCTAAATGCGTTATTACGCTGCGGTGATGCTTTCATAAAAAGCGGACCTTAGCGAAAATGAGAGAAGCATGCGGAGCCTATAAACTAGATCCTCATGGCGGCCGTTGTAACAGCCACCAAAAATACTGTTAACAGTAAAGCAGCTTCTGCCTTCGTAGTTTGACACCCGAAGCATCTCTCCACGGCCATTAGATATAAAACATGCCACATTACCAACGCACTATCCGCATGGACTAAAATTCCCTCACAAAACATCCCATCTTTTATGTCTACAACAAAAGGCTGTACAAACTTCAATATTTCTGTTCCCTAACGTTGCGATGTGTATAATCCTTTGTTCTTTTGAACTCAACTGTTCATTTAAGCAAGTCTGCAATCCTAGCCAAATCTGCGCTTATCGAACTAATTAGTGTCTACAGAACGCGCAACTAATATGTTAAAATAATCTCCATTTCGTGTAGTCTTATGCGTTCCCATCAGCAAAAAGTTAAAATTTAACAATTTTAGTCAAGTCTGGTATTGTACAGAACAAGGGAAATTAGATTAGCAAAAGTTATCATCAATGCGCGATTGCATTAGCTTTTTCAGCAACCAGCGGGCCTTTGGATTTCTCTAACAGCTCGTCTCTGATCTTTAAGGGTTTACTCTGTTCCCATGGAAAATCGGGATTCCCAAAGTGACCGTTTTCAGCAGTCTTTTCATAAATGGGCCTCTTCATTTTTAAGTCCCTAAAAAGATTATTTAGGTTTACAACCAAAAAAAAAATGTCGCTTCAAATACTGCAATTAAATTAATGGCTAAACTTGTCATACTTACCTAATAATCATACCCGGCCTAAGGTCAAAGTTGTTGTTCACAACCTCCAAAAGCTCAGCTTCATTTAATGCAGAAGTACCAAACGAAAAGACCATTACCGAAAGTGGTTTAGCAATGCCAATTGCATATGAAACCTGAAAACGCCGTTCATCAGCGACAGAAAACCAAAATAACAATAAAAAGCCACTGACGAACGAAAAGTTACCTGAACCAAGCATCTACGGCAAAGGCCGGCTTTAACCAAACTTTTTGCAACCCATCTTGCTGCATAAGCTGCTGACCTATCTACTTTTGTAGGATCTTTACCAGAGAAAGCACCACCTGCAAACTCGTAATGATAATCAAACAACGCTGTTTTCGTGTACTAAGTCACGAACATCGACTCAGTACGAAGCAGTCAACCTACCTCCATGGGCGCCCCATCCACCATAAGTATCGACAATAATCTTTCTTCCCGTAAGGCCAGCGTCACCCATTGGTCCTCCAATAATGAAGCTTCCACAAGGGTTCAGGTGAAAAACTGTTTTGTCATCCATTAAATGTTTTGGAATAACAACATCAACTACTTTTTCTTTCACTTGTCTACGCACCTCTTCTACCGGGATTTCAGAACTATGCTGCGTTGAAACAACAACAGTATGAACTCGAAGCGGTACGCAGGCTCCGCGATCAAAAGCGTACTCAATTGTAACCTGAAAGATAAACTTCATGGTAACTTATACACTTTCAACCCTTTTTCACTTAAAATGCACTAGTGGAAATATCAACAGGTAAGATATTAAGGAGCATTATTAAAACTTTCAGCCCAATATTGCACAAATGTTAGTAAACCTGCGACTTAGAATCTGGTCGGGCCCACGGTAAGGTACCATTTCGTCGAAGTTCATGGAGTTTTGCATTCAACTTATGTGCTAGTAGTAGAGTTAAAGGCATTGCTTCGTCTGTTTCATCAGTTGCGTAGCCGAACATAAGGCCCTGAATTTTAAATTAATATCCTGTTAATGGGACCGCTTGACATTTGCGTGCACAGTTGTTTTTGTTTGGAAACTTAAAGCCTGCATAATTTTCAGTTTATCCCACAGTACCAATTCCTCCCGCTAATGGTACTCCAAAATGAAGAAAATAATATAAAGAAGTGGAAACTGATTACCATGTCAAAAGTTACAATACAGTAAGACGGATAGAATGATATAAAATACAATTTTTTCAATTTGCTACTGTACCTCATCCTAGAAGAAATAACTTAAGTTACAATAAAACTTTTGAAAAATGCTTTTTGTAAGAAAGTTTGTGCAAACATCGCACGAAATAAACTCAAGAATTTTCTTAGCCTACGGGAAGGACCCCTTGAAAGTCGATTTTCAAACGAAAACAAAAGCCCAAAAATGGCGTCTTCAACAGAGTTCAGTAAAATTAGGATCCCAAAAATGATGAAGTTTGTTTCCACAAAACACGACATGCCTGATCTCCAGCTCCTATTTCTTCATCACTCTTATCCAAGTGTACTCCAGAAGCAATTTCGCTTGACTGTTGCTCCAAAGCGACTAACACATTGCATGTTTTGTAATCAAATCCTTAAACAAAAGTTGAAAATGACTTAAGAGGTATTCTGCTGTGCTGCTTTAATCCGATTCCCAAAATAGGACTTCTTCCATCAGCCGATGACAATACCCGGAGCTGCCTAACGGCGTTCAATGGAGGTTAAAAAGGTAACAAGTTGCGTAA